TTGGATATTAGACTCACACAGACATTAGTGAGGACAGGGGGGCTGTCCTGGTCCCTGGGCACAGCCGCTCTAATAGGCCATGGCCCACCTGGGGCTCTCCTGAGGGTTTCTAAGTTCAGATATTTTTGTCCCTTGAAACATCTTGAGGGCTGTGCACACAGTGGGTGCTCCAAAGATGCCCTGAGCTCAGAAGAGTCAGCCCTGTCTGTGGTTCACGGGACTGCACCCACTGGCCCCTGGGCTGCCCCAGTCCACTCCTCAGCAGCCTCTCTGCTCTTTCTGCTACCCACTTTCCTCCTCTGACCTTCCCATACCTGTTCCCGCCTTTACCCCACCTTCACCTTCTTTTTTTGCCAGGAATTGTGTTGTATACATTTTTTTTAACTTTAAGTAAAATATTTTCTCTCAACTTTTGATGCCCAATTTTTTCTCTTATCTTTCTGTCCCTTGGGTCCTGGCCCCAGTCCTTCTGCGGAATCTCTAAGTTCTTAGGGGGGTCCCATCCGAGTTCTTAAAGCCACTATCTGCAGTTCCTCCCCACCCCCTCCATCACCATGGGAGCCACAGGCTTATAAATGATGACCCTCAGTGGAGAACAAGCAGAGGCTGTAAGATGCCCGGAGCCTCCAGGCGGCTTAGATGGGAACTGTCACCACCACTTGCAGGGGGCTAGGACCCTGGGTCTCCCTGAGCACCGGTGAGCTGCCTTCAGCATAAGCCCAGAGAGAGACCAAGCATCCACTCTGTGAGGGCTGTGCTAGGATGGGCACAGCGAGAGGTGCAAGACCCTGGTCCTTCCGCCCACAGCCTGGAGTTTACTGGGGGAGACAAGCCCCATACACAAAACATCCTGCTGTGAGAGCAGAGAGCTAAACCAGAGGGATGCCAACGGGGCAGCGCCTACCTGCCGTGGCTCCTGTGTGCCCTGCTTAGGGCACTGGTCTCAGGACCGGTCTCATTGCTGAGATGATAGCTCCACTACCCTGAGGGCCACTGCTACTCCCACCAGTGATGGGCCATGAGTGGAGTCAGAAAGGGAGCCTGGCGTGGAAGACTCGCTTATGCACACTTAGGTCTTGCCAGTCCAGGAGGCGTGGACTCCCACCGCTGCCGGGCAGGGTCCTTTCTCCTGCAGCCAGACCCGAGAGGCACCAAGACCCCAGAGCTGCAGGGCCCCTGCTGACCAGCAGCCTCCTCTTCTTCTGCCCGAGAGCCAAGACTGGTCAGAACGCCCACTCAGACAGCAGACATCAGGCAGCCTGTCCCTCCTCTCCACCCCAAATCTTGTCTGTTCTAAGCAGGCCAGGCTGAAGAATGTCCCACTGGGCTCTCCGGGGCACTAGACCCTCCTTTTCCCTCCCTTTGTGTTTTGTTTTTGTTTTCTTTTCAATCCTTCTCCTTCTGTATAGACCCTCCTTTGTAACTAAGTCATGGGATTTCAAGATGCGGGGCATTTGGGCTGTGGTTCTTTCATTTTCCAAAACAATAGCATACCCTCATTTTTCTCTCTTGCTTACTCACTGAGGCATATGTACAAAGGCCCATGTGCCAACAGGCTGGCCGATGGCCTACATGCACAAGAGACTGTATGCACAGACGTGAGGCAGTGAGGTTGGCACAGTGGGCAGTTAATAATGTAGGCTGTGAATCTGGAAAACCTGGGTCCAAGTCCAGGCTGTGCCGTTACACACTGCAACACGAGGCAAGTCACTTAACTTCCCTGAGCCTCGGTCTTCTCGTCTGTAAAATGGGATGGAGTGACTGTGAGGATTCACTCAGGCCCTGCACACAGTGAGCCTCCAGGAGAGGGTGACTGTGGTTTGTTAGCAGGCACAAGAGCCCAGCTCACCCTTTGTGCTTCCTTCCCTGCAGGCTCTCAGATCGATGACCATGTTCCAAAGCGAGCTTCAGCTCGGATCCTCGCTCCTCCCGGAGGCAGGTCGAGTGGCATTTGGTAAAGGCACTGCCCAGCCCCCCGAGTGAGGACACACCGCCGCCACCAGTCCGCAACTCTCCGGCCACAGCTTCAGGGGCAGGAGAGGCTGGGCTGGGCAGCACACCACCCGAAGGGGGCCCCAGGACCTGCGGAGCCCTCCCTGTGTCTGCAAAGTGATTCACTGTGCTTCGAGCCAACTCTAACAGGCACTTTGAGATGTGTTCCTCCTGCTGTAGTCCTTTCTGCCTTGGCCTCCGTGGGCTTTTCTGGGGCCCAGGAAGCCCACACTGTGCACAGAGCCCAGTGCATAGAGCCCTGGCCAGCCCTTCCTCTCACTCCTGCCTCCGCTGGCTTTGGGAAAGCCCAGACTTTAGTGCCCTGCCCCCTGGCTGACTGCCCAGTTGTCCAGAGCACTTTAGCAGATGTGGTTTCAAAGTAAAGGCCTCCTCCCCCACCCCTTAGGCCCTGTGGTGACATTTCCCAAGCCAGACAGGTGTCAGCTTCCCAGCCATGCCCAGGACGTCCCATCTCCCCCAACCCACCTCTGGCCCTGTGTAGGGGCAGGGATGGGGGTGGCTGGACACCCGGTGCCCCTCGCCAGCTTCTCTTGTGCCCCGCCCACACCCTCGGGGGGTCACAGGTCCAGGAAGGTAGCTGGGCGGGGCTCGAGGCTGGTGCCCGGCGCGTGTAAATGGTTTGGTTTTGCACGTTTGGTTTGCGCAGTAGTTTGGTTTGACTTGTTTGTGCATCCTGTGAAAAATAACGGTGCTTGTGTCACTAGCATAGAATAGCAACAGGAATAGATGTGGTCCTTAGGAGACGCTGCACTCGACACCAACCAGACAGCACAGGGCAGGGGCGGTGGAGGGGCTGGGGTCACAGGCCTCTCTTCTCCCTGCCTGGGGCCTTCCGGGCTGCTGGAGGCCCAGGCCCTTTCCCCCTCCCCTCCCCTCCTTGTCTAGTTTCCCACATTCCAAGAGGGGGCCTGGGATGCTAGCCCCGGAGATGCCAGCCCTTCAGGAAGCAGGTGTCCTTTCCCCTCTCTGCCCCATTCACTCCCGGCACTCCCCCTGCCTTCCCCCCATCTCCACCCACCACACACACACACACACACACACACACACACACACACGACTTCCTGTAACTTCTTCCTGCTGGACAGAGACTCAGTGCTCCTCCTGTGTGACTGGCAAGAGGCCTCATGCCTGCTGAGAGAGGAGGAGTGGGAGAGGGGCTCGCCAGACACCAGGGAGGGAGACCCCAGGCACACAGGACCTGGCTGTCGAACCCACATTGCTGCTCAGGTGCCGTGATCTCCTGTGGCTGGCACCAGGCCCTCGCCGGCTCATGGCCTCATCTTCTCCCCTGTCTGTCCAGGTAGGCCCTCCCTGCTTCTGAGGCCCTCCAGAAGTTCCCATGGAAACACTAGAGGCCGGGTGTCTCCTTCCACCTCCAGTGGTCTGGGAAGTGACCCGGCCACCTGCCCTTATTAAGCCTTGTCTGCCCCATGGGAAGTGACTTCATGTTGCACATGTGATTTCAGCCCCTGAGGCTTGTGCAAGGCTTCTGGACCCTCAGTTAAAGGTCAGTCTCTGGCCGGGCGTGGTGGCTCACGCCTGTAATCCCAGCACTTTGGGAGGCCAAGGCGGGTGGATCATGAGGTCAGGAAATCGAGACCATCCTGGCTAACACGGTGAAACCCCGTCTCTACTAAAAATACAAAAACTAGCCGGACGAGGTGGCGGACGCCTGTAGTCCCAGCTATTCGGGAGGCTGAGGCAGGAGAATGGCGTGAACCCGGGAGGCAGAACTTGCAGTGAGCTGAGATCGCGCCACTGCACTCCAGCCTGGGCGACAGAGCCAGACTCCGTCTCAAAAAAAAAAAAAAGTCAGCCTCTGCACATCTCTGTAGTGCTGTTCGTGTATTCAAACCACTTCCATATATGACCTCTCACTTGGTCCTCATGACAATGGAGCACTTACTATTCTTCCCATTTTACAGATGAGGAAACTGAGGCCCAAAAAGTTCAGGCCCTCTGACCCCAGAAGTGTCTGTGACCACCCTTCCAACCTTGGCTATCTACCCCAGCTGTGGAGAGGAGGTCTGGGGTGACATCTATTGTAGATCCCACCTGAGAGTTTAACCAACAAGAAGACTTACTTTCCTGGTAGGCAGCCTGCTTTGTTTTGCACAGGTAGATAGATTTTTTTTTCTCATCTTTCTTATAAACAATCTCATGCACAGTCTGTGTTTGAGCTAGGACTAGTCACCCTTTGGGGGCTAACTGTGCAGTGTGAGCTGCATCCACACCCTCACTTCTCCCTTCACTCCCCCTTTCCTCACTCAGGGGCTGAGAGGACAGAGGTGGTCAGTCAGGGAGCAGAGGTGGCGAAGGGGCTCATGGCAAGTGGCAGCCATTGGAACAGGGGTGAAGACTCAGGCCTGGGAAAGCCACCAGGGATAGAGGAAACCATGACACTGCCTCCTGGTGCAGTGCACACCATCTCTATCCCTGTCAGCCCTCACTGGGTCATGGGCCTTGGGCAGATGCCAAAGAGCCCAGCAGCAGTGGTGGTGGCCAGCTGGGCAAAGCATCCTTGCTTGGGCTAGGAAAGCTTTACCTTCTCTGAGTGCCTCCGCCCAAGAGATGCGTGACCCGTGGCACCGGGGAACCACATCTTGGAGTGGTCCACTGTAGGCCATCCACTTCATCCACCCCCAGTCCTTACATAGGCCCTACCCTTTGCCCGGGAGCTTCTAGATGGAAATCAGAAAGAGATTCAAGGAGCCGAATGAGCGGTCAGCCCCCACCATGCACTCCTTGCCCCGTGCAGAGCTCCAGCCAGCTTCGTCACCAGCCCCACTGGCTCCTGGTTGGAATGAAAGGGTCTCTGGTTGCACTGAATGCAGCTCTCAAACTGGTCTTGTACTTGCTGAATAAATACTGTTGTTCTTGCCTTAGCTGCTCTCTAGGTTTGTGGGGTTAAGTTGCCAGAAAATTGTGCTACTGTGTGTGCGTGTGCGTGCGTGTGTGTAGTGCTAGGAGTCCACAGTAGGTCTCTGTCAAGCCGATGTCGTGCTGAGGGCTTTTCCGATACTGACCCAGAAGCCACAGAACCACAAGGAAACCCAAACCCCCTCCAGCTGCTGAGGCGCAGGCACAGCGTGGGGTCGGGATGGAGCCTCCAGCACCCCAGCACCCAGGTGACTTCCCCACGCCCCTGTAAATGTCATGGTGCTAAGACTGTGTCAACCCCAAGACGACACACGGTCCTGTGCTTTGGCCACCGTTTGAGGCAAAAACTAAACAGCCCGACACGTTGTGTTCTGGTGCAGGTTTGTATTAAACTGTAGCTACTTCTCACTTGGACTCTGTTGTGTTTCTTCAAAGAGGAGGGAGTTCGGCAGAGATCTCTTCTACGGTGACTGGGCAAGGCTTCTGTTGCTAAGAAAAGGCAACTTTGATCCGTCTCTCCTATTGGGTGGCCTGTGCAGAGACTGGATTTTTTTTTTAATTCTGAGAGACAGGAGCCCCAGTGGTGCCAGATTTCCAGGGACAAGGTTGCCAAATTATCTGAAATAATTAGGAGGAAGAATTAGGCGCAAAAGGGAAAAAACTAGACTTGCTCCACCTACCTGTAGTCACCTATTTTGGCTACCATTTTGGAAGCCCATAGCCACCTCTCCACTCAGCAGAACCCTTGGCTGATAGAACGATGGCTTCATAAAAAAATCACAAGGCCAATGTGCCTTTGAAGGACCTTCCAGCTGCTCTCTGGCTGTCCAGAACCCCGCCTTTGGGGTTGGCCCTCTGTACTCTCAACCCCATCCATTGCGTTGAGACCCTCTGCCTTCTCTCTAGAGCTCCATCAGATGTTGGGAGGATTATCTGATTAAACTCTTTCTCACTAAAGGGTAAAATTGTGGCTTCTAAGGCCGGGCGTGGTGGCTCACGCCTGTAATCCCAGCACTCTGGGAGGCCAAGGCAGGTGGATCACCTGAGGTCAGGAGTTCGAGACCAGCCTGACCAACGTGGAGAAACCCCATTTCTACTAAAAAAAAAATACAGAATTAGCCGGGCGTGGTAGCACACGCCTGTAATTCCAACTACTCGGGAGGCTGAGGCAGGAGAATCACTTGAACCCGGGAGGCGGAGGTTGCTGTGAGCTGAGATCACACCATTGCACTCCAGCCTGGGCAACAAGAGCAAAATTCTGTCTTAAAAAAAAAAAAAAATGTGGCTTCTAGTACTATGGGGTCACTGTACTTATTTCTTTTTTTTTTTTTTTTTTTTTTTTTTTTTTGAGACGGAGTCTTGCTCTGTAGCCCGGGCTGGAGTGCAGTGGCCGGATCTCAGCTCACTGCAAGCTCCGCCTCCCGGGTTTGCGCCATTCTCCTGCCTCAGCCTCCAGAGTAGCTGGGACTACAGGCGCCCGCCACCTCGCCCGGCTAGTTTTTTTTTTTTTTGTATTTTTAGTAGAGACGGGGTTTCACCGTGTTAGCCAGGATGGTCTCGATCTGCTGACCTCGTGATCCGCCCGTCTCGGCCTCCCAAAGTGCTGGGATTACAGGCTTGAGCCACCGCGCCCGGCCAACACTGTACTTATTTCTTAACCTTAAAATTTGAAGGTTGAGATGGATTTGTCAGCTTGAGATGGATGCCGAGTCCCTGCAATGTATTGCAAAGTGTCTGTTACCCTGTTTTCCCACAACAGGAGAGCACACCAGAATTGGATTAACTACCAAAAATGCATTGGGTTTGGATGAAAAAATAACATGACCACACATTTGGCACATGGCATCTATCAGGCAGTCTACAGGGAAAAAATAAAAGATACCCAGGAAGACATGGAGTGCCTTTTTACGTATGTAGTTGTAGAAAAATAAAAGACCACAGACTCAGACTTTAAAATAAGCCTTGATTATTTATGAGAATCTGGATTTGGAGAAATCACACCAGTCAGCAGCTAGGCAGCCACCCATTCTATTTTCTAACTCAGAATTACAGACTAACCTCTATACACCGGTATAGACTAACAGTAAGAATTGCTTTGTAGTCAGCCAGGCGCGGTGGCTCACGCCTGTAATCCTAGCACTTTGGGAGGCCGAGGGGCAGGATTGCCTGAGCTCAGGAGTTCAAGACCAGCCTGGGCAACATAGTGAAACCCCATCTCTACTAAAATACACAAAATTAGCCAAGTGTGGCGGTGAGATCGCTCCACTGCACTCCAGCCTGGGCGACAGAGTGAGACTTTGTCTCAAAAAACAAAAACAAAAACAAAAAAACTTGCTTTGTAGTCAGTGGAGGACACAGGGTCTCATGACACCCAGGTGTGAAGAAGAAACCTCATGATATGTAGGGGCTGGTAGACCTTAGAGTCCTAAGTTAGTAACGGACTATTTGACAGTGTTGTAACAACATACATTTGAAAGGGCTCTTAGTGCTTTCCCAGTAGAACAGTAAAGGATCTGGCATTTTACTGACACTGGGTACAGTCTTATGATGGAAACTGAGTTATGTACTTTCCCTTGTGGATTTACAACCATACATTTAGACCTAGAGAGACCAGATGTCCTGGTTTGCTCAGGGCAATCCTGGTTTAAGTCCCTTGCCCCAGAATAATTATTAACAGTGTCCACTTTCACTGTCAAACATGTCCTGGTTTGTATAATAAACTACATGGTCACTTTCTATATACCTATACATTCATTGGGCTATTACTGTGCCTGTCCAGGAGTTAAAAATTTTTCCATTGCTGAAAGACAAGACATGGCATCATAGGAGATGCGGAAGATGGGTCCTTCCACAGTGGGTGGTGACTTAGGGGTTTGCATGACAAGCCTTGTGTCTTCACACAGCTCTTGGAGGCTTGATGAGTCTCAGTAGCTGGTGATGCCATAGGGTGGGGAAGGTCTGGGAATGCTTTTCTAAGCTTTTTCAGTTTGCCTCGTAGACCTCATTGTTCCGTTAAAAGCTATAAGCCTACCATATTCTATCACTTGCTTTTAAGGTGCCTTTGATTCCATTTATGAACTTAAACACCTTACAACATTTTCAACTACATTTAAAATTCTATTTCCCTTTTAAATACCTTTCCTGAGTACCAAATAATTATTACCAATCTAATAAATTAAACTTATAAATATACTAAGTTTAACACTTTATTAGTTGTTTTGATGCTAAGAATAAACAATATTTCAACTTAAAATTATGTTTTAAGTTACACATTTTTTTTTTTTCGAGACAGAGTCTTTGTCTGTCACCCGGCCTGGAGTGCAAGGGCGCCATCTTGGCTCACTGCAACCTCTGCCTCCTGGGTTCAAGCAATTCTCCTGACTCAACCTCCCAAGTGGCTGGGATTACAGGCACCCACCACCACGCCTGGGTAGTTTTTGTATTTTTAGTCGAGATGAGGTTTCACCATGTTGGCCAGGCTGGTCTCGAACTCCTGACCTCGTGATCTGCCCTCCTCAGCCTCCCAAAGTGCTGAGATTACAGGTGTGCGCCACTACGCCTGGCCAAGTTACACATTTTGAGTTAATTATGAGATGCTCACTCTAATAGACCAAAAATTTCTCATAGAAATAAATAAAATACCAACTATGCCCAGATTTCCTCTTAATACAAAAATTTTAACACTATGGACTTAGTTTTTTAAAAACATTTATTTTCTTAATTCTATACCTCCTGCCAGTTGTAAGCTCTCACTGGGCTTTAGCTTTGAGTCTTTTCTTTTTTATTTTATTTATTTATTTTTTGAGACAGAGTCTTGCTCTGTCACCCAGGCTGGAGTGCAGTGGTGCGATTACAGCTCACTGTGGCCTTGACCTACGGGGTCAGGTGATCCTACCACCTCAGCCTCCAGAGTACCTGGGATCACAGGTGTGCACCACTGCGCCTGGCTAATTTTTGTATTTTTTTGTAGAGACTGGGTTTCCCTTCGTTGCCCAGGCGATCCACCAGCCTCCCAAAGTGCTGGGATTACAGGCATGACCCACTGCACCTGGCCTCAAGTCTTTTCTTGATGACAAGTCAACTCCTAGAGGGTGCAAGGAAGGTCTGCTTACAGCTGCACTCCAATCTCAAATTTCCAGTGCACCTGATTTTCACTTTACCACTACCTGGTCATCTACAATAACTGAATGCACAGTTATTAGTGTAATGTGTGTGTATATCAGTTCTAGCCAAGGGAGTTCTGCCTCCTTTAAAAATATTTGAATAAATTAGATCCTTTGTATTTTAAGGTTTCCTTACATTTAAAGCAACACATTCTATCCTTGTATAGCTTTTTTAAAATTGACTATTTTTTAGAAAAGTCTGATTTACAGTAGCACAGATAGTGCAGAGTTTCCACCTACTCCACACCCGGCCTCCCCTATTACTAACATCCTACATTAGCATGGCCCGTTTGTTACAATCTGAGCCAATATTGATACATTATCATTAATTAAAGTCCATGCCTATTTAGATTTCCTAAGTTTTTATGTAATGTCCCTTTTCTGATCCAGAATCTCCTCCAGGACACCACATTACATTTACTCGTCATGTCTCCTGAGCCCCGGTGGACTGTGACAGTCTCTCAGACTTCCCTTGTTTTTGATGACCTTGACAAGTTTTGAGAAGTATTGTTCAGAGATTTTATAGAATACTCTCTACTGGAAATTATCTGCTGTTTTTCTAAATGGTTAGATTGGTGTCAGGAGTTTTTAGAAGGAAGACCATAAAAGTCAGTTGCCATTTTCCTCACGTCACATCAAGGGTATATACTATCAAAATGACCTATTACTAATGATGTTGACTTTGATCACCTGGCTAAAGTCTGATCTACCTTTTAAAATTTATATGGTTCCCTTTTATGACCTAAAAGCTTCTCTTTTTACAGTATGTGACTTCTTTAAGGAACTAAGTATGGTTTGTATTGCTACACTGAGTTTTTCAGGTGTTTGCTAGATGATTCTCCCAGTTAGGAATTTTTTGAAATTCAGTATCAGTTGTAAGACTTTTGGCCAGACACGGTGGCTCACACCTGTAATCCCAGCACTTTGGGAGGCCAAGGTGGGCAGATCACTTGAGGTCAGGAGTTCGAGACCAGCCTGGCCAACATGGTGAAACCCTATCTCTACTAAAAATACAAAAAAATTACCTGGGCATGGTGGTGCAAACCTATAATCCCAGCTACCTGGGAGGCTGAGGTGGGAGGATCACTTGAACCCAGGAGGCAGAGGCTGCAATGAGCTGAGATTACACCACTGCACTCCAGCTTGGGTAGCAGAGCGAGACTCTGTCTAAAAAAAAAAAAAAAAAAAAAGACTATTTGTTGGGGGCACAAAGAGAGCAGTAACAAGACATATTCACATAAATACGAGCTCTTGAGGTTTTATCTGAAATCCTCTTGACGCATGGGTCAAAATTTAGGCTTTAATTTAGGGCTTTACATACACACACACACGCATTTACATGCAAACACACAGAGAGGTTCATTTTAACTACATAACCAACTTTGCAAAGCCTTTGAATAACAAGTATCCATTACCTTAAAGCTATTTAAGTTCAAACTTCCAAAATCCAATCTGAAATCCTAGGAAAAAAAAAAAAAAAACAGAGACTAAGCAGGTAAAATTAATAAGGAACTGTTAAGAAAGTATAATTTATTATTTTAATGGTACCCAGAAAGCTGTTGAAACTTCTCTATTGATTTATATAATTTCAGATTATGTGAGTTTTATTGAACGAATTGATAAAGCACACATTTTTCCAACTGTGATGCATTTCAGTAGCAATAGCCTATACTGCTACCAAAACCCGCATTTTACATTACATTTACAAAAACCTTTAGCTATTAGCTTTAGGGCAGAAACTCAAAAAATTTTTTTCCTTTTGGAGTATTTCTAGCCATGAAACTCAAGTTCTCATTGAAATCATGTATGCAATATCCAAAATTCCTGATTTCACATTCTGCATTAATTTATCATCTCAAGGGGGAAAAAAAGATCACTTCACACAGAAAACAGTTGCTTACAATTATGCATATTTAAATTTCATCATCTGCTCAGTGCCTCTTGCTTTATTGGAATTTTTTCTTTTGGATACAAGGTCTGCCACTGTTACCCAGGCTGGAGTACAGTGGCACAATCACCACTCACTACAGCCCCGACCTTCTGGGCTCAGTCGATCCTCCCGCCTCAGTTTCCAGAGTAGCTGGGACCACAGGCATGCGCCATCACGCCCAGCTAATTTTTCAATTTTATAGTAGAGACAGGGTCTCCCTATGTTGCCCAAGCTGGTCTAGAACTCCTGTGCTCGAGTGATCCTCCCGCCTTGGCCTCCCAAAGTGTTGGGATTACAGGCATGAGCCACTGTGCCTCATTTTATTGGAATTCTTGATTTTAAAATATCCTCTGGGTCGGGTGCAGTGGCTTATGCCTGTAATCTCAGCACTTTGGGAGGCTGAGGTGGGCAGATCATGAGGTCAGGAGTTCAAGACCAGCCTGGCCAACATAGTGAAATCCCATTTCTACTAAAAATACAAAAATTAGCCGGGTGTGGTGGCACACGCCTGTAGTCCCAGCTACTCAGGAGGCTGAGGCAGGAGAATCGATGGAACCCGGGAGGCGGAGGTTGCAGTGAGCTGATACCATGCCATTGCACTCCAGCCTAGTGACAGAGTGATACTCCATCTCAAAAAAAAAAAAAAATTCCTCTGAAGTTTTGCAGTCTAAGTTTACCCTGAAGGGAGTTATTGTCTTTTGATCAGTCCCCAGTAATGCCAAGTTTCAAGACACTGCATGAGTTAATTTCAGTAAAATAGACTTCCCTTGGAGATAGTCTTTGATCCCTTTACTGCTGAGGAATCAGAGCCTCTGGAGAACAACTTCTCTTGGGGAGGACCATGGGTATTTTGAGCCCTAAAAGGAAGAAAATTTCAGTGGCAGTGCTTTAACGGCCCCTTCCCATCTTGCACTCATCTGACAGAAGGGTTCCCAGAATGCACGGAAGAGGAAATCTGGAGGCTCCTTCACGGGTATTTTAGGACTAGCCACCACATGTGGGAGTTGCTGAGACTTTTTCAAACTACAGTTTTCCAGCATCCAGGCTGGCTGGCTTGCTTGCTTGCTTGCTTGCTTGCTTGCTTTTTTTTTGAGACGGAGTCTTGCTCTGTCACTCAGACTGGAATGCAGTGGTACGATCTCGGCTCACTGCAACCTCCACCTCCCAGGTTCAAGCAATTCTCCTTCCTCAGCCTCCTGAGTAGCTGGGACTACAGGCATGTGCCACCTTGCCCGGCTAATTTTTTGTATTTTTAGTAGAGATGGGGTTTCCCGGCTGGGCGCGGTGGCTCAAGCCTGTAATCCCAGCACTTTGGGAGGCCGAGACGGGCGGATCACGAGGTCAGGAGATCGAGACCATCCTGGCGGTGAAACCCCGTCTCTACTAAGAAATACAAAAAACTAGCCGGGCGAGGTGGCGGGCGCCTGTAGTCCCAGCTACTCGGGAAGCTGAGGCCAGAGAATGGCGTGAACCCGGGAGGCGGAGCTTGCAGTGAGCTGAGATCCGGCCACTGCACTCCAGCCTGGGCTACAGAGCGAGACTCCGTCTCAAAAAAAAAAAAAAAAAAAAAGAGAGTTGGGGTTTCCCCATGTTAGCCAGGATGGTCTCGATCACCTGACCTTGTGATCCACCCGCCTTGGCCTCCTAAAGTACCGGGATTACAGGTGTGAGCCACCGCACCTGGTCTACAGCAGCCAGGCTTTCTATGTTCCCCAGTGTGGTGGCCTGGTGGAGGTATCTTTTGTTTTGTTTTGTTTTGTTTTGTTTGGAGACAGTCTCCCTCTGTCGCCCAGGCTGGAGTGCAGTGGCGCGATCTCGGCTCACTAGAAGTTCCACCTCCCGGGTTCACGCCATTTTCCTGCCTCAGCCTCCCAAGTAGCTGGGACTACAGGCACCCACCACCACGCCCAGCTAATTTTTTGTATTTTTAGTAGAGACAGGGTTTCACTGTGTTAGCCAGGATGCTCTTGATCTCCTGACCTCATGATCCGCCCGCCTCGGCCTCCAAAAGTGCTGGGATTACAGGCGTGAGCCAATGCGCCCGGCCTGGTGGAGGTATCCTTTCTAAGTTGTGAGGATTCAAGCTTGTTCTTTGAGAAGCACTTTATAGTTTTTACTTTATGTCTGTAAATATGGTTTTGTAACTCCTCCCACATATCTGCATGGGAAGCAGTGAAAGATTTTGCCTTTCTTTTGTAACTCTCACTTGTTCACAGAGACCTCGCTTTCATCTGGCGTCATGGTCACAGGAACTCAAGATACAATTTGGACATATCTTCTTTAAATAAATTCAGTAGATTGGGCATCATAATGGTTTACTATGATCTGAGCAGGGGTAGGCCTCCCTTCCAAACCCTTGGGCTGAAGTAACCCGCAAGTCAAACCAGCCCAGTGGTTCTCAATTAGGGGCAATTTCTTCCCCCAGGAGACATTTGGCAATGTTTGGACACAATTTTTGGTTGTTACAACTTGCAGGTGGCATGGTGCTATAGGAATCTAGAGGTCAGGAATGCTGTCAAACATCCCCCAATACACAGGACAGCCACCACATCAAATAATTATCCAATCTAAAATGTCCATGGCAGCAAGCTTGAGAAACCCTGATCCAGCCTAAGGGTGAAACAGGACATTCAATCACTTTAGAAAATTGAATAGGAAAAATGTAAGAGGGGGAAAGAGGTAGCTCAGCCTATGATGCCTATTTTATGTAGTAAAGCGCTCTGAACTAAAACGTGCCAAGGATGGAGCTGAACCACAGCATCCCAGGCAGCAGAGAGGGGGTGAGGAAGCTGGAGGGTAGGACTCCAACAGGTCTTACCTTGTGTTTCCCCCAGGGCCTCATCCTCTACCACCACTCTCAGGGGCTGTGTTGTGTCAGATCCTGCCACGACCACATCACAATGTGGCAGGAAACAAAAGACCACGGATGCAGAATTTAACATTAGCTTTCATCATGTACTGAGACCACATGCAGAGCAAGGTTAAGCACTCACCAAATGGCATTTTGACTGTTACATCTTAATTCCTTAACTTTCAAAAGCACAGACCTTCTTTTACGCCTGGGTGTAAACCAAGACCCTCTCCGAGAATTGCCTTGTGGCCATGAGAGGAGAAGGCACTTTTCAAAGGGAAAGGGAAAGAAAACCTCATGATAACTGGTGGGGAAGGGAGGGTAAACATTATGGTTATCAGCAACATCCAAAAAGGCTATTTGAAGGGGTGACAAGCTATGTATCAGGAAGGAGTCATGTTGCTTGTTCAATAAGACATTAGGGATGTATCTTTTTTCTTAATTTCAATGTTTTACTTCAAGTGTAATGGGTATAGAAAAAAGTGCACACGATCTAAGTACACAGCTTGATAAATGTGTATAAACTGGGACTGGGCGCAATGGTTCACGCCTGTAATCCCAGCACTTTGAGAGGCTGAGGCAGGTGGATCACAAGGTCAGGAGATCGAGACCATCCTGGCTAACACGGTGAAACCCCGTCTCTACTAAAAATACAAAAAAATTAGCCTCACGTGGTGGCAGGCGCCTCTAGTCCCAGCTACTTGGGAGGCTGAGGCAAGAGAATGGCGTGAACCTGGGAGGCAGAGCTTGCAGTGAGCCGAGATCGCGCCACTGCACTCCAGCCTGTGTGATAGAGTGAGACTCTGTCTCAAAAAAAAAAAAATTGTATAAACTGAACACCTAGATGGAGATAGAACATTACTAGCACCTGAGAAGCCTGCTATGTGTCCCTTCCTCTCACAATCCCCCACTAGGATAATTATTCTTCTGACTTCTAATACCATATACTAGTATTGCCTGGTTTTGAACTCCATGTAAATAGAATCGTACAATACATATTCTTTGTTCAGGCTTCCTTTTTTTTTTTTTTTTTTTTTGAGACAGAATCTCACTCTATTGCCCAGACTGGAGTGCAATGGCACAATCTTGACTCACTGCAACCTCTGTCTCCTGGGTTCAAGCGATTCTCCTGCCTCAGCCTCCCGAGTAGATGGGATTATAGGCGTGTGCCACTACGCCCAGCTAATTTTTTGTATTTTTAGTAGAGACAGAGTTTCACCATGTTGGCTGGGCTGGTCTCAAACTCCTGACCTCAAGTAATCCACCTGCCTTGGCCTCCCAAAGTGCTGTGATTACAGGCGTGAGCCACCGTGCCTGGTATGTTCTGGCTTTTTTTTGTTCCAATTAAGTTTGTAAAATTTAGAGGACATACCTTCTTCTTGTCTAAATTTTCTTCTTATGTGCAGCATTGTTTAAGATGGAGTAGCTGACTTTGTCATCAATGTGCACCTACACATAAAATATGAGGTCAAGGCGTGTACACATGTGATGTACAAGTGCACAGTACTTTTTCCACCGATGGAGAGTGAGGCTTGTGCAATTCAATCACCTTAATCGTGATCTCTAGGAAGGCCTTCCAGTCAAGATAGCCAGGTGGGTTCAAATAAAAATTCTCTATGTCCCAACTCCAAACACAAAGCAGATAGAGAGCATACAACTTTTAAAAGAC